TTTCAATTTATGACGAATGGGTTAGAAATAACTATGAATTACAAGTTTGGCAAACTTATTTAAAAATGGGCACTGAACAAAAACATTGGGCTAAGGAAGTTGTTCGTCGTACAAAAAGACGAGATGTTGTCATTAATAGTCGATTTGTTCAAAAGAAAATTAATCGATTAACAATTGCTATTGCTGAAGCATGTGCTACTATTTCAGAATTACAAATTCAATTATCTACTTATTGGATGCAAACTATTTCTGAAACTACAAATCAAAGATTAGCTCAAACAACAGCTAATTTAGTAGCCAGACAATTATCAGTCGACAGAGCACGTCAAACAACAACTGCAGGAAATGTAGGTACGAATACAGATGATGAATTAGATACTGGAACTACAGGAACTACAGGAGCTGCTCCAACGACTACAGCAACTACTAAAAATCACGTACGCGAATCAGTTGAACGTATTGAAAACTATATATTAGAATATATTCATTTTTGTACTCAACACGTTAAAAAGACGGCTCAAACTCGAATACAATTAGCTAAAGCTCAAATGACAGAATTCAAAGCTTTAGAAGATTTCGAACAAATAGCTACTCCAGCCCAATGGAATATACATTTCATATTGAAACCTAAAGTGAAGATTTGGTCAACAAAGAATAAAAATTATCAATTATTATTAAAACGAGTCGAATTAGATATACCTTCAAAAATTATTGATAAAGTTGATTTTTCTTTTAAAATTGATGAATCAATTATAAGTCAAGATGAAGCACAAGCCATGTATAATCAAATGCGTCAAATTACCAAAGATTTTCGTAATCAAGCAATGACATTATGTGTTCAATTAGCTGCTCGAGAAAATGAAATCTTATCGAATGAAATTAAAGGTATTATCGAAAGATTTCCTCAAGAAAATGATGATGGATTTGATGCTGAACCTGGTTATGCAGCATTTAAACAATATCATGAATTACGAGAAAAAAGAATGAAATTAGAAATTGAACAATCACTTTATTTTTTATTCGAACAGCGAGTCGAGAGCGAAACCAACAATCCAGAAGAGGAAATAATCGCTCCGACTCTCATACGTTCGCTGGGCGAGGATTTCTTGCTCCAGCAATAATTAATGAAGCTAATATACAATTAACTGAAGAAGAACATCAATTATTAAAATTAGGACCAAAATTCATATTTAATGATCCAAAAACAGCAGCTCGACGGCGTACAATTGAGTTGGCTACTTTAAAACGTAAAATGGAAAAATGTTTTCTTCGTAAGAAAGTTAGCCCCGGTCGTCCGCTCCAATTATTTATTGATGAATTAGATGTTCTCCTTCAAACGTTACATAATGTGCCAACAATGGACAAAATTATAAATAAAGATAAACTAATTGGTACTAATATTATTGAATTAATAAATAGTCAAGCAAGTCAATCTCAAATTATGAATACAGTAAAAATGAAGAAAAAGAAAAATTATGGAAGATTAGTTAAGAGATTGAAACATAAATTTAAATTGGCTAATGTTATATTACAAAAATCAGATAAATCGAAAGTATTCCATTTAGGTAAAATTGAAGATTATCGTAAGAAATCAAAAGAATATATGGAAAAAACTCAAGCATATCAATGTCTTGGTATAAATGATCCATTATTTGAATTAATTCAACGGACAAATAAATATTTGTTAGACTTACGATTAGCTAAATGGATTACTCAAAAGCAATATGAATTATTAAGTATTAAACCTAATGAAGTTGAATTGGCTCATTTATATTATTTACCAAAAGCCCACAAACCTGGTACTCCTCTACGTCCAATTATTAGTGGTCTTAAACATCCTACAATTAAAATTTCAAAATTTCTGGATGATTTATTAAGACCATTATTTGACAAAATGGCCCAAGAGACGACAGTTACTTCGGGCTTTGAATTGGTCAAAAAATTGCAAAAGTGGTCAATTCTAAATATGAATGGAAATACTATACTTTGTACTATTGATGTAGTAGATTTATATACAATGATTCCACAAGTAGAAGGAGTACTATCGTTAAAGAAAATGTTAGATTATTTGAAATTGAAGAAAGTGGGCAATTTAAAAATAGAAACTATTATTAGATTAAGTCGATTTGTTATGCAAAATAATTACTTTTCTTATGATGGCCAATTTTATCATCAAAGTAAAGGTGGAGCTATGGGATCGCCGTTGACTTTGACTATGGCTAACTGTTATATGTTTTTCTTTGAAAGACAAATAGCCAAACAAATTAAAAATAGCGGTGGACTCTATTTTCGCTATATTGATGATTTATTTATAGTAATTAATTGGCCTGTTCGACATCTATTAAAACAAATCGACAAATGGAAGAATTTTGATGAAAATATTAAGTTAAATCCAAATATTAACACTTTTGCAACTTTTCTTGATTTATATATGGAAAATCGTGATGGTGTATTATTTACTACTGTTTATCAAAAGCCGTCTTATGAACCGTATTACTTGCCATTCAATAGTATTCATCCATTACATATGAAAAAGAATATACCTTTTACGATGTTACTTCGAGTGATTAGGTATTGTTCAACATTTCAAACATATTTGGATGAACGTGAAAAATTACGTATGGCTTTATTATTTAATAAATATCCGAATAAATTAATTGAAGAACAGTTTAATAATGTTCTTTTAAAATGTAATATTGATCAGCCATTAACAAATTTTAATTATGACAAATATCGTCAAGAAGTTATGAATTCACCCATAAAAGAAAAAGCTACGATTGATTATGAAGCAGTTATGTTTATACATTTTACATACTGTTCTACCATGAAAACGTTTCCTGCTAAATTCCATCTACTTTGGAATAAATACTTTGAGCAATCTCCGATTAATGAAGTTAGGCCTATTCTCGGTACTCGAAATGTGAAAAACATACAAAGACGTCTAGCTTTTAATATGTTATGATTTGTTTTAATAATCTTATTGTAACAATTCAATCAATTGTTTCAAGCTCGTATTTACGAAATGGGGTAGGAAGGGAGTGGTCTTGTTTAATGGTTGAATCTCTGGTGTATATGGTGGATGCATCTCCTTAAATTAGATTAATATGAAATATTTGATTTTGGAATTTTCCATTGACCAAACATATTATATGTTGGAGATTATTTGTTAGTTATATGTCAAGCTATTAATACAACGTAAATGGCTTTTTAATCTGATTGGCATATTTGGAATTGGAGTGATATAATCCATATCTTCAGTGATATAATTTATACTTTTAATGATATTATTAAAGTTTATCAGATACAAGTCGGTGGTTAATCTGTATAATATTCTCATATGTTATGTCTTATGTTTGTAAATATAGTACAACAAAAAGATATGATCAATAAACGTATAGTTGTTTATGAAACAGGTACATCAGCCACTGAATATCCTACATTATGTCGTCCTGGGCGAGACACACATATTCAAATACCTTCATTTGCTATAGGACGAGATATATATATATGTTTGGGTATAACTGATATTACTTGACTTTATATTGAACTGATATTAATGGACTTTATATTGTATTAATATTAATGGACTTTATATTGTATTAATATTAATGGACTTTATATTAATGGACTTTATATTGAATTGATATTAATGCACTTTATATTGAACTTGTAACAAGAAATTATATATTTCATCAAATAGAAATTATTAATCAACTTAACTTCTCATTGTTTATTTGTTGCAATATTTTTCTATGTGTATAAGGAATTGAATTATTGATAATCTATATTCCAACTTGGATATTGAATGAATGTACGATGATGGCCCTTTTTATACAGATCAGTGGTATATCTCAAGCAAAATTTATTGATCAATCAAATCAACTGCACGATTAACGCCTTTTGTCTATTTTGTTGCCATCACGCACACGTACTAATACACGGATAACATAATAATCTGTTGTGACTTGTACTTCTAGAGTTTATTGCATTTTTAAAAAGTTTTCCTGTAGTATTAGTAGTATTAACTTCAAACTAGTTATAATTTTATTATATTGCGTAGCTTTTGCATTTTATTATGATATCGTTTTAATGCTTTTTTGTAATGCAGAGCCCTGATGAGTGTTTCATTATATCAATAAAATAAACATGAAACGCGTCGGCGAAATTAAACTCTGCATTCTCTTTTTATTATTTCATAAAGCACGAATATTCAATTTGTCAAATTAAATACGACTTCATCGGTTGCTGAAAAGCAAGAGTTGAGACTAGCAGATTGATTTGTATCTGAGAGATATAGATTGATCTGTTTCTATTTGATTTACGCTAATAATCATAATGTGGAGCTGATCATTATTGTTCTGAATCGAGTGAACATTAATGTGTCGACCTAAGTATTTGACCATATAGTGAGCAGTCTATGTTTCGCATAAGCCATTACAACACGAGCAGCGTTCAACTTGTTTCAATCCTCCAATTGTTTCAATTTATTCCGTTAAGAGGGTGGGTGTGGATGGGTGTGGGTGTGGGTGTTGGTTCTGATGTGATGGTAGATCAGAAGAACACCTACACCCACACTCTACACCCACATCCACACACCCACACACCCATACACCCACACACCCATACACCCACACACCCATACACCCACACATCCATACACCCACACCCCCACACCCCCACACCCACACCCCCACACCCTCACACCCACACCCACCCCACACCCACACCGACGCGCACACCATCCACACCCACCCTCTCTTCAGTCGAGGAAACAAAAGAAAATTTAAGAGAAAATAAGAATAGAGAAAAATATAATGAAACATATAGTAAAGAAAACATGTATGGTAATATTAATTAATTAGACGTAATGTAACAGTAGCAATTGAAAAAGTCAAAAAGAATTGCCTTAATGAAAATAACTCAATCGTTTTAAAAACATTATTTCCGTGTGTGTTTATACATTTTGTCCTTTTCAATAAAAATAAATCGCCACTTGTTCATTAATTACCTAAAACATCATCATAAGTATTTATGGAAATGCTTACTATCTATATTTATCATCACTATCTGGCTTATTGTAATTTTAGTTTTTAAATCTACAGTACTGTAGAGAGCATTAACCCAACATATCTAAAGTAGAGCTCTTTATAGTGCTCTAATAGAAAGAAAAGCGAACGCAGAAACCCACCCGCTCCCTTCTTCGTACAAGGCTCTTATTTAAAGTTACTTCGATTGCTCAAATTTTAGTTTTTTCGATTTAGAGAACTGTGTCGTAGTTGGAAATCTAAAAAGTAAAAAACGGAGAGGTCTAGCCTTTCTAAATAAAAGAACTGGAATCAGACTGCTTTAAAATTTCTAATTTTAGAATGTTCTGTAATGTTCTAATCTACAGAAAAATCCATTAGATCCGTCTGAGCTGCTCGAGTTTAACTGTTTTCGCTTAGAGCTTTCTATATTACTCAGATCAGAGATTTTCGAAGGTTGTATTGATTAAAGTATTTTAGAGAGTATTAACTGAAGAAATCAAAATAATTAAGAGCAGTTTAAAGAATTCTGATCGAGAAAAAATCAAACTAGAGCACTCTATGTAATCTCATTTCGATTTTTTTACTGTTATTCCTAAGCAATATTCAAGGACTCAAGCGTTACTCGAGTACATTATTATATTTCAATGATATTCAAACAAACTAAAATATTCCCGTCTGCTTAAAAACATGACTTGAGCACTATAACGTGTTTGAGACGGTCGCTTGACCAATGTCAAGCGATAGTTCTCTAGTCCGAATACTCTCAAGCTTCCCCATAGTGTCTGACGTATCCGAGTGCGCTAAAAAACTTCGAGTACTTGATAAAGAAAAAAATCTCGAGGAAGATGTTCGAGTGCAGTCAAAATGTCAAAAAAATATTCAATACTAGGTAATTTTCACAGCATGTAAGTACAACTCACAAACATGAATTTGTGAAAAACTTACAATGAGTTTAACAGACGAAAACCATCTTTTGTCAGGATTTCTTAGATTTATAGGACAACTAAATATGTTTTTAGAAAGTACTTTTATTCGACGGAGAGTTTGTCGTTCGTTCAAAAGTTCTACTGGAGAAACTTAGGAAAATATATGTTTCCTTTAACAGAGTACTTTCTGCAAGATACTGTTTAAAAACTTACGTGTAACAATGCCATTCTCTTCTTTGTACATTCCTGGTGGTGTATACGGGTCAGAAGAGCCAGCCAGCGCTACCGATAACCACACAAACTGATGTTCATTGCCTGGACCAACGTAACGTGCATAATCATTCCGAATACCTAGACCTTGAACATCAACCCAAGCATGAAACCGATCGTCATAACCGTAATCAGTAACATTTTGACGTGGTTTTGCTAAAATAAAATAAAAATCATCAAATAGTCTCTCTTCAGCCAGTATAGACGCACGGTATCTTTCACATTTGGGAACGAAGAGCTTTTGGTAACATTCGTCATCGCAAGACGTACGACCTTATTAGAAAAAACCAATTTTAGCATCGAAAACAGCATAAAAAATAACACAGAATTCAATTTTCCTGGAATTAAGAGAGAATTTCTGATAGTGTCCAGCAAAACTGTCAAATGATAAATTTTATTTTTCTTTGAGAGTCATATCATTGGATTCATCGTGAAAAGTTGTGGTTATGAAAAAAATTTTAAATCTACAGACCTATTTGTTGCTCAGATATTAGCATTTTACTGAGAGGGAGAGAAAAAATTATCTTGAGGGTGACGGTACCCAGATATTTCTAAGTGGTATTTTTATTTTACATTCGTTCTAACTGAGCGACGTCTTATTTGAAAGAGCAAAAAAATTGAACAAAATTAATTATTTAATGGTTTATAATATCACATTCTAATAGTGAAAAAATTCAGACAAGCATGTTTTTAGGTTATTGAAAATATAATTGTTGCATGGAAAACGTGATTTTTACGATTCTCAGTACTGCAGGGGAGAAAATTAAACTTAGTGAATCTTGTAACCCTTGCAATTTTCTACAAAACTCTTTCAGCAATAATCAGTTAAAAGTTCCACGACATGTCCAAAAATAGCTCCCAAAGTTGGATGAGTTGCATATTTTGAGACATTTTAAGACTAAAACTAATATTAATTATCGACTGACTCGTTTTATATCGTTCGAAGTTCAAAATCAAATAGATACTTGGAACCACCGCCAAAACCTGCATCGAATCAAATACGTCTTAAGAAAATTTTTTTCCTGCAAAAAACTGGCTCCTGGTGGACTACGGGTCAAATTTCAGAAAAAATATAGCTGTCGGAGACCACAGGTTTGTTTTTCATGGAAAACAGTTTTTACTAAAATAGATTTGATTCGATGCAATATTTGACGCTGATTCCAAGTATCTATTTGATGTTGAACTTCGAACGATATAAAACGACTCAGTCAATAATTAATATTAGCTTTAGTCTTAAAATGTCTCAAAATATGCAACTCAGCCAACTTTGGGAGCCATTTTTCGACATGTCATGAAACTTTTAACTGATTATTTTTGAAAGAGTTTTGTAGAAAATTGCAAGGGTTACAAGACTCACTAAGTTTAATTTTCTCGCCTGCAGTACTGAGAATCGAAAAATCACGTTTTCCATGCAACAGTTATATTTTCAATAACCTAAAAACATGCTTGTCTGAATTTTTTCACTTTTAGAATGTGATATTATAACCCATTTAAGGACCCCTCCTATCACAATCGATTTCCCAGTTAGAATGGTCCTTTTGGGCTGAAATTTTTAGGGATGAGTGATCCTAGTGAGATTCGCTTCTGGTAAATATTTCAGCTCTATAGGTCATACTAGACCGGCTTTCCAGCTGATTCATAGCTCATTTTTGGCCTTCAGGAGAATCCTGATAAACCCGTCGCTGAAAGAGTTATTGACCTCGTGCTAGTTTCAAATTAAAGCCAATATCCGTGCGCAGTTTTTGTCCGAACAAAATTTTGAAACTCCTTTGCATTCATTTTTATGAGCATTTTAGTAGAATGGCCTTAAAATTAGCAAAAAAAACTGATTCCACTTTTCTCAGTCCAGGAATCAACTATAAAAAATCTGTTCGAACAATAGTTTACTCTCATTCAGGCCTTTAAAAGAAAACAAAAATATTGGTTATAGCTCGAGCCGAGTGGAAGTTATTTCAATTTTTCTGATTGGAAACGATGTTCTGAGAAAAACGATAAACAAATTTAGAAATCGATTTTTTTATTCAAATTCCAAAAATACATATTGAAACGGCATATTCATAATATATTAAAGTGATTTTTTTTAAAGCGCATAACAGATCAAATATAAATATGTGATGCTTATCTCTAGTATTAGTAGGCGCCTAATGATTAGTATAAAAAGGTTTATTGAATGCTAATCCAAATAGAAAAAGATAGTCTTTCAAATACTGAAAAGCTTCAAAAAACCGCGAAAATGTCTCGAAAAACATGATAATAGTGCCCAAATCTTCTGTGATCAGTTTACTAAAACCTGGCCTTTTTCGAAAAAACTATATATATTTTGAAAGAGGAGAGCTGGAGGCATCTTCCCATGATAAAAACTCAACTGATTTTTATCTAAAAAATGGGTTTTCTCAGGGGAAGCCCTTAAATAATTAATTTTGTTCAATTTTTTCTGCTCTTTCAAATGAGACGTGGCTCAGTTAGAACGAATGCAAAATAAAAATACAACTTACGAAGTACCTGAGTACTCTCACCCTCATCAATGATTTTGTGGAACTCACATATATTTTCGAAGAAAATAGTGAGTGTAAGTTTTAAGTTCGAGGTTTCGCGGCTCCTCCTCCCCCCACCCCATTACAGACCTTAGCAATCGAGAATAAAAGATGTTTGATTTTCTAGAGTTTTTTTTGGAAAATTGATCAAGTTCTAATTTTGAAAAATAATGAATATCATTATTTGTGACTTGATTAATATATGTGATAGTGTGTAAGATCTGCTGTAGATATCATAGATATGTAAAACACACTTATTTGTCAATCAACTCAATGATTATAATAATAAGAATGATAAATTAAGAAAAACGAGTTGAAAAAAATGAAAAATAATGAGCGAATAGCAACAATGAAAACAAAAAATAGGACATCTGTAGAAAAAAAATTAAAAAAATATTTTGTTCAAAATGCAGAAATTGGAGAAATTTTTACTTCAGTGATTGATTATCCTGCAAAACAATTATAGTTTACGAGAGATTTTTCATTTTACGTTTTTTGTATTAGTTTAATGAGCCCAGAGAGCATATGTGAGTTCCACATTTCAGCCCCAAAGGGGCTGCGCTAACAAGCTTTTTGCTCCCCCTCTTAGTAAAATGCTAATATCTGAGCAACGCACTGGTCTGTAGATCTAAAACTTCTTTCATAACCACAGTTTTTCACGGAGAATCGAATGATATGACTCTCAAAGAAAAATAAGATTTATCATTTGACAGCCAATCAGCAGTGTGCTCGACCTTCTCAGAAATCCTCTCTTAAAAGCTGTCTTTTAGCAAGTCACTTTTTCTGAAGCAACAGTATATATTGTTATTCAGGCTAAATATTATTTCCCTGTCAGGAAATAGTGTCGAGTTTGAACTTTTCCTCAAAAAAGTGATTGGCTTTAAGACAGATTTTAATATAAAAAAAAATGAATCCTGTGTAATTTTTGATGCTCCTTCTGATGCTGAAGTTGGTTGTCTATAATAAAGTCGTACGCTTTGCGATAACGAATGTTACCAAAATCTATGCACTTCTTTTCCGATCGGGAAAGAATTTGACTTGAATTCGTATATCCATCTGAATTCATAACTTTTCCGATCGAGAAAGATTTCTCAAACAGAAAAGATGTAGTGCGTCTACACTATCAGTCGTACATTTACCTGAAGAGAATAGATTTTCAGCTTCTGCTATTGCGGTTTGAAGAACATCATGTGCTATTGTTTGCATAAATTCTACATTTGGTTTATACGTTTTTATTGTTAAATCAGAAGTAATACCATTTGAATTTTCTTCGACAAACATTGTTCTTGTAGAATCTGACCATGATGTTAACTGTATTCTGTACAATGTAAAATAGGGTTTCGATACATCTGGAAATTCCAGTAAACCAATATCAACTATTGTTTTTTCATAACGCTCATGTCGACGGATAGCTGATGCTAAACTTTTCGGTTTGGATGTACCTTTTGTTGATGCAACTCGTGCGATTGAATTAATATCCAAATGAAGACTATCTAAAATATCACTATCGCCAATAAAATTGCGAAACCATGAACACATTTGACCGACCATTATTTCATCAACGGACTGACCCGATTTAAATACTTCTGTACTACCATTATCAAATGTACTTGATTTTGACTGCGATGAAGTTTCTTGTAAATATTTATTTGTTGACATCAGTTGCAATGTTTCATCCCATGAGGAAGATTGTTTGTTATTAACCGTATGAAAAAATGTTTCACCAATTGCGGCTAATAAATATTTATCCATAGCAGAGCAAGAGTCGGACGTCAGATTTGCTCCGAAGGATGGTGCCAATGAAAAATGACTAACATTTTCATATGTTTTCTCATATTCATCGGTAAATCCTCCTAAACTATCACCAATAATTGTTGCAACCATAACTGTACCATCGGCGACTGTATTTGCTGTGTCCACCGTGCCTTCAACTGCTGTCCTTGTTACGTTAACTACACCATTTCCAACCACCTTAAATCCATTTTCTATCTGTTGTCCAGCTTCTTTAAAGGCATCACCCACTTTTTCAAAATCGGATTGTATGTTACCCATTGTGTATCTGTGTATAATATGTATTCAAAAACCACACTTATAAAGGTTGATTCATTTATAACGTCGAATGAGAAATGGCTTTATTTGATCTAACTACCAACCTTCATTTTCATCAGTTGTCAAGTTTTTTAGTACTCGTTAAAAAAGATCGTTACGGACCCTTTCAAAGTACAATAAAATACTATGAAACTCCTTAAGATTTGAGAAAGTTCTAAAGAACTCTCTAAAGTGCTTACAAGAGAACATTCCCAGGTGTCGGAAGGCTCTTCAGTCGGGGTTTCGCACATCTCGTAGCCCTTAGTAAGCTGTGTCTATTGGTAAAAAAAGTTCGGATTTCTGGCTTGTTCCTAGCGAGATACGGAGTTTCTAGTGAATTTTTCCTATTGGATCCCACATTAGTAGCACAGCCATATTTTTGAGTTTTGACCTGAAACGTTGTCTACATAAACATCCTAACTAGACCAGCTTGTATAAAAAAATTCAGAACTATTGGATAAAGTCTCTCTAAGATATGAAGGTCTCAAAAAATGCATGTTTTATACACTGCTATGGAAAACCGCCCATACGTTGAGACCTTCATATTTCAGAGAAACTTTATCCAAAAGTTCTGAAACTTTTTATACAAGCTAGTCTAGCTAAGGTGTTTATGTGGACAAAGTTTCAGGCCAAAATTCAAAAACATGGCTGTGCTGTTAATGCGGGATCCAATAGGAAAACTTCACTAGAGACTCAATGTCTTGCTAGGAACAAGCCAGAAATGCGAACTTTTTTTGCCATAGTCACAGCTCACTAAGGGCTACAAGATGCGCGAAACCCCGACTGAAAAACGTTCCACCACCTGAGAATGTTCCCTTGTAAGTCCTCTATACCTATCCATATCCACCTAAGTCTATGTTCATCCATTATACTCTTGTTTATACTCCGATATCGACATATATGCCTGCATCTATACTGTCACTATCTCACCTAAATCGACAATGAGCGAATGTCATATTTTACTATACTAACACAATATCTCGAAGACAAAGCGGTAGGGAAATAAATATATATGAAGAATAAAAATTTTTAGTTCAATAATCATGTTTCTCATATGATAAAAGTCAGTGATTTCCATTGTGGATGATTTCAAAGAATAGACATCACGAAAAGTATAATAAAACTTATACGTATAGTGATTCATGAAATAGGTACATAGAATAGTACTGAGGGGGCAGATAGTATGTTTCTCTCGGCAAAATGTTAAAGGTCATTCCGGCATCAGTATTACCTGCTGTATTCTTCCGAGAATATGCTCATTATGGAAAGATACGAACTCAAAAACCCAGTAATAGAATATCTAAACTCGATTGCAAAGTGATTGATAAATCGATAAACGGATGGAGAAATTCAAATCGGTCGATTTTCTAATTGGTAGACATCTATCTGTACCATAGATGAAATAGTTAGGTACGAAAGCTTCGGACTACGATTAAACATACACCGAACCCGAAATTCCCAGTCTGTTCCAGGGTTCGGGCCTTCCCAGATTCGGTTGTTCCTGGCTTAGGTCGTTCCTGGGTTCGGTTGTTCCGGAGTTCAGTCATATACTTACGAGGAAAGGTCACCAACTGTCCAATCGCTTTTGAGTTGATATTTTGGGCAAAGGTAGGGGGCCACAAGATTAGAATAATCCTAATAAGATTTGGGCCGCTAGGGCTTTGATGCCGAGTTCTGTGCTTTTTACTGAATTTTTGACCATTTTTTTCGATATTGAGCAAAAAATCAAATAACGGAGTTTTGACCTGAAATTTTCCCTATAAATAGGCCCAGTCATCATTAGAATATTCTGAAATTTTCAGCCGAAAAAAGTGTTCTTTTGTCGAGATATTGGATTATTAAAAAATAATCGCTTATCCCAGACAAGACGCAAAATCTCAGTTTACTTGAAAATTCAATATCTCGACAAAGGAACACTTTTTTTGGCTGAAACTTTAAGGATATTCTAATGATGACTGGACTATCTATGGGGAAAATTTCAGATCAAAACTCCGTTATTTGATTTTTTGCTCAATATCAAAAAAATGATCAAAAATTCAGTAAAAAGCCCAGAACTCGGCTTCAATGGCCTAGCGGCCCAAATCCTCTTAGGATTATTCTAATCTTGTGGCCCTCTATCTATGGACAAAGTATCAACTCAAAAGCAATTGGACAGCTGGTGATCTTCTTCATTAGTTGAAACAACAGTAATCAATGATGGAGAATACAAATACATAATTAGTTCATGAAGATTTATATTATAGAAATCTCACTTAAAAGAAAGGATATTTTTCGAAAATAACAATATTCTCTAAAGTCTGATCAAAGATATTCAAGGTTGAGGGATCTGAATCGCAAGATGGTTTCTCGAATTTTGTGGACTTAACAATCTCACTAGGGAAAGGCTGCTTTTCCAGGAAGCTTTTCCTCCACTACTGTAAGGGAAAAACATGATGTTTTCGAGCCATATAAAAGAGGACCCTTGCT